TGATAGCCCTCGTATAGCTTTGCGCTAAATCCAAAACAAACAAACAAATATACAATAAATAGATGAGGGTAACCGTTAAGGAAGCCAGAATTATATAAAGAACAATATTAGATAATGCTTATCTTCCATTTTTCCGTTGTTATTAAATCCCTAATGACATTATAAGATGATCATTTTATACTTAAAATGTGTTTTCGTTCAGCATAAAATTTCCTTTCAAAATATATAAATAAATAATTCTGTGACAAGGCAAAACAAGGAAAAATTTATTAGCTTCAATACGACGATCTGTATATAGTTGTTCAACTTATCTAATAAATGTTGTTCATAGAATATAAATTATAAGAAGAAGAATGGACAGGTTTTGACGTTTCATCATGATGATAAAACTACATCTTCAGCTAAAATTCTGAAAAACCTAAATATTTAGAGAATAAGCTTTGATCACCTCACCTGATTTCTTACCTATAGTTATAAAACCAGTCAGTCTCGTTTCCTATTCTAGAACCAGAATTATTTCATACGTTTTCATAATATTAGTATTGGCCTACTACACTATTAATGTTCATATCAGTTTTATTTTTTCCTTTTTTATCCAATCTGTCCAGATTCGAAATGACTATACGCTTCTTATTTTAATAGCTTCATTTCTTAACGTCTCTGTAAGGTAGCTTCTGTTCGTGTTGAACGATATCAAATCTGCGCAGTAATCCAGGAGCTAATAATGTATATACTTTGTTGTCCTGTTGAACAATGTCAAATCTGAACAGCAATCCAGGCGCTAATAATGTATATACTTTGTTGTCCTGTTGAACAATATCACATCTGGGCAGTAATCCAGGAGCTAATAATGTATATACTTTGTTGTCCTGTTGAACAATATCAAATCTGGGCAATAATTCAGGCGCGAATAATGTATATACTTTGTTGTCCTGTTGAACAACATCAAATCTGGGCAGTAATCCAGGCGCTAATAATGTATATACTTTGTTGTCCTGTTGAACAATATCAAAACTGGGCAGTAATCCAGGCGATAATAATGTAGGAATATTTGTTGTTCTAATGAACAATATCAAATTTGGGTAGTAATCCAGGCGCTAATAATGTATATACTTTGTTGTCCTGTTGAACAATATCAAATTTTGGTAGTAATCCAGGCGCTAATAATGTAGGAATATTTTGTTGTTCTATTGAGCAATATCAAATTTGGATAGTAATCCAGGCGCTAATAATGTAGGTATGTTGTGTTGTGCTATTGAACAAGATCAAATCTTGGTAGTAATCCAGGCGCTAATAATGTATATACTTTGTTGTTCTGTTGAACAATATAAAATATTTGTAGTAATGCAGACGCTAATAGTGTATATACTTTGTTGTCCTGTTGAAGAACATCAAATTTTGGTAGTAATCCAGGCGTTAATAATGTATATACTTTGTTGTTCTGTTGAACAATATCAATTCTGGGCAGTAATCCAGACGCTAGTAATGTATATACTTTGTTGTTCTGTTGAACAATATCAACTCTTGGTGGTAACCCAGGCGTTAATAATGTGGTTATCCTTTGTTGTATTGTTGAACAATATTAAATCTGGGTAGTAATTCAGGCGCTAATAATGTAGGTCTACTCTGTTGTATTGTTGAACAATATCAAATCTTGGTAGTAATCCAGGCGCTTATAATGTAAGTATCCTTTGTCGTATTGCACACCTTCAAATTACATTAGTAATTTATAGGTACTTTTGTAGTATTGTTGAACTTCAAATGGTGTTAAAAAATCTAAGTATTATTTGTTGTATTGTAAACCTTCAAATGACATTAGTAATTTATTGTTGTATTCTTGAACTTCCACGGTGTTAACAATCCAGATATTTTGTTCTATTCTACATATTGAAATGACATGAGTGATATATAAGTACTAATTGTTCTACTTTGTTGTGTCGTATTTCTTCAAGTGGCCTAAATAAACAATAAACTTTTTGTTTGATTGTATCGCTGTCAACAGCATTAGTAAAGTAAATGCTCTTTTATGTTGGATAGCTTGAAGAGGCTTTAATAACACAAGCCTGCGATGGTTGTATTATCTTGAACTTTTTACAGTAATTCATGTACGCTGAATCCGAAAATTATATCCATTTTTCTCCATCGCGTACAGATTTTTCACAAACCGTCATAACGCAATACATAAAAGAAAGACCACAACACCTAGTTTTGAGACTAAAAGACGTAGATTTCACACACACACACAAAATCACAATGTTCTTCCGTTTTCTTCAGTTTGTTTGTATTTTTGTTAACAAGCTTAATAATATCAAATGTTCATTGTGGTAAACGAAATAATAATTTGATCTAAGTAAGAATTTTTTTCTTCCCGATTTGTAAAAAATCCTTACGTGATAGAAAAAAAATGAATATTATTTTCGAAATCTGAGTAGCTGAATTGTGGAAAATTCGTTGTTAAAACAAAAACAACTATTATGAAATCATAAATAATATTCAACGTTAAACTGGCACATAATTTAAAACATTTTATTTAGGCCTATCTATGGCCTTCAAAAAGTTGACGACTCTACATGTTTCGACGTTACAACTCCAGAGTATGATTTTAACTTTATACACAAGTGCCAAAATACTATAAACTTTTATGAAGTTTAAATTCGCAAGCCTGTGTTATCTAAATATTCTTTATTGTATTGCACAGCTTTAAATCGAGTAAATAATCATAGAAAACTTCGTTATTCTATGCTTTATAGTGATTGAGAAATTATAAGAAATTACCATCGTTGTCAACACTTCAGTTTTAGTAAATATTGCTTTATCTTAGTTGATAAGGACTATCCAACCAAGTCAGGCTACGAAAGATCGTAAATCCATGCCAATCAACATTGCTATGGTAACATATTTAGGTGACCTCGATACGCTATTGACAGTACAAGGATGAGCGAATCATTCATCTTCTATCAGATAAAACAGCCCTCCGATGACACGGCGGTATGTCTGCGGACTTACAACGCTAGAATCCGTGGTGGGCAGAGCACAGATAGCACATTGTGTAGCTTTGTGCTTAATTAGAAACAAACAAACAGATAACATAGCTCCCAGTGGCACAGCGATATGTCTGCGGACTTATAACGCTAGAATCCGGGTTTCGATACCCGTGGTGGGCAGAGCACAGATAGCCCATTGTGTAGCTTTGTGCTTAATTGCAAACAAACAAACAAATAAAATAGGAAATGCTGCTCACGAAAAACATTATATCATATATATTATATATGTACATAGTTCATAGTCTAGTAGACTGGTAATTACATTATATCATGAATATTATATATGTACATAGTTCGTAGTCTAGTAGACTGGTAATTACATTATGTCATGTATATTGTTACGACAGCGGTAGTCACGTGATGCTGGTAACACGTCATGATATTCTAGAGGGATCGGGTAACATCACGAATAATCCAGTATGTGCTAGGCGCCCTCTACTCCTGTATATAAGTGCGCCGGATAATGTGAGACAAATTAATCAGAATGGAATTGCAGACAGACAGAGATAAAGACGGACAATTGAGTCAAGCGCGGTAGTGACCGTAAGTAAATGCGTGAATCATTGTGAATTATAGCATGTCTTTAAAGTGACTATGGAAATTAAGTGTATTACAAAGTTGAATTGAGAAAGAATAAACTAGTTTTATTTAAGAAAGGACTTGTATCGCTAAAGTTTCATCCGAAAGAAATTATACGGGAAATTAACAAACGAACATAGCTCATAGTCTAGTTGACTGGTAATTAATTACCAGTCTACTAGACTATGAACTATGTACATATATAATATACATGATATAATGTATATTATATCATGTATATTATATATGTACATAGTTTGTAGTCTAGTAGACTGGTAATTACATGATATCATGTATATTATATATGTACATAGTTCATAGTCTAGTTGACTGGTAATTACATTATATCATGTATATTATATGTGTGCATAGTTAACATTTTAGTCGGCTGGAAATTCCATTATATCATGTATGTTATATGTGTGCATAGTTAACATTTTAGTCGGCTGGAAATTCCATTATATCATGTATATTATAGGATTACAAAGTCGAGTAGGTTGGTAAATGTACGATATGACGTATATAATTTTAGCCATACGTCCTACAACAGATATACTTATTTGCACAGTCGTGATATGATAGAAATGATCAAGCAATGTTTCCAATTGTCCTCTTGACAACTATATAAGAAAACACCCAGTCATAAGATAATATAACTTTGATTAATTAACAGATAAAAATAACATTATACCGTCAAAGGACTTAGATATACAGGGACTGAGTGGTTGTGGGCGTTTCATAATGGTCTTTTTCCTGACAGCAAAGAAATAGTTAGAAACCTGCAGAGACAGATAAACATATGATAGTAAGTATATATTTGACATAGATATATTTACCTGAGAACTGTCTTTCTAGTGTACGTGTAGTCTGTTTTTCAGGTATATTTAATTACCAGTAAAACATATTCATCTTGTGGTCAGGCCATCTACTCTGTAGTCACGAATGTTTAGTCTGCTGTCAGGCATGTTTAATTAGCAATCAGATATATCCATCTCGTTGTCAGGTCATTTAGTCTCCTGTTACAGAAGTTTAATCTGTATTAAAAAAAAAGTATGCTTAGTTTGTGGTCAGGTCTATTTAGTTGTTGCCAAAAATGTTTAACCTGTTGTCAGGTGTATTTACTCTGTAATTACTAATATTTAGTCTCTACTCATAAATCTTTAATCTGCCGTTATTAGACGTGTTTGATCTGTAGTAAAGTATATCCATTTTGTAGTTGAACATATTTAGTCTGTAGTCATAAATCTTTAGCCTTTTGGTTTATATATATATATATATATGTATATGTATGTATATCCCATATACTCAAGTATATTGAGGCTATAATCAGACGTTTGTAGATCTGTATTTATTTTGCAGTGAGGTATATCTGTATTCAGATATGTTTAGTCTATTATAAAGTATATTTCGTAGTGATCATACATCTTTAAAAGAAAATATTTGAACAACGAGGACAAACACACTTTTAAATAGAAAGAAATTCATTCCTATAGTCTTTTAAATCTAAAGAGTCAATTCTTATACCTTACATTTAAAAACCTACACAAAGGACTGACTATCTACCAGTGAATTTTAAACTACTAGACTAGGGGGAAAGGTAGTTAGTCAATAGCACCCTCCACCAACTCTTGGACTTCTAGTGTGTAAGGAAACAGTACACTCTTGTTACACAGTTGTTCCTAATAGTTTTGGCCCGAAGCTCTGAATTTTGACATTATATATACACACACATACATACATATATATATATAATGAACCCTGGCATTATATATATTATATATATATACTGAACTTTGGCATTATACATATGTACATATATATACATTGAACTCTGGCATTATACTAACATATATATACACAGAACCCTGGAATCATACATATATACGGACAATGAGCCCTGGCATTAAATATATATATTGACCCCTTGCATTATATCAATAAATACTGAACCCTGTATTCCGTAGTCTATAGAAATGACTGAATGAATTTAAAACAATTTGGTACCTAAAGGGTTACAGTTCCCTCTCTCTGGAGAAGTGTAGAAACTAAGATGGAAATCACGAGTTTCGTAATAATGACATACACAGATTTCAAGATGTCTCTATATATTCTTACATCGTTAACTGAAATAAAAGTTCTGTGACGAAACTTTAGAGCTACGATGTACTTTATATTTCTAAAATGTAAATTTTGGTAGATTTTATGTTTACCTTTACAATGTATTATAATTAATGTTCATACATTATATAAAATCTCAGTTAATTTTTCAGTTTGGTATTTGTGTATTTTATATTTCTTAATATAAAACATATTGTATTTGTCACTTGAATTGGTTTTCATATGGATGTGCCGCCCCAGTGGCACAGCGGTATATCTGCGGACTCACAACGGTAGAATCCGGGTTTCGATACCGGTGGTGGGCAGAGCACAGATAGCCCATTGTGTAGCTTTGTGCTCAACTACAAACAAACTAAAAGTGAAGTACCTCTCAATGAGAATATTTAATTAAATAAAATTGAGAACTTTGCACTTTGAGGTAATTTGCTAAGTGTAAAAACGTGCACAATTTAACATTGAAGTAATCTTCCAATCGAAGGAGTAGCATTGGCGCTGTTGAAAACACCAGCAGTGATGCAAACCGAAAGATTTCAATGATGAGCAAAATAAGTTCCATGAAGAAAGTACAAAAGTTTTTTACACACAATCTTGAACTATTTCTACTTCATGAGTTTAAACTTTATTGCTTTGAGTTTAATCAATATTTATGAAAATAAAACTAACAGTAAATACGAGAGAAAACAACACCTTGTTCTATTTCGTCATTCAGTCCACATTCTAAGAAGTAAACACCATTACGAATTGTCAGCGCATCCTCAAACTTTGTAAGGTTATTCACAGATTTAACAACATGCTTTTCAAAAATAAACACATTGTTATATAAATGTAAACAGCTATAACCATTTAACGCTTTTCAATTAGACCTGTAACTGAGTGTTAATTATATTTCCTGTAGTCCATTTTCTTTGACACCGCTGTCTTAGATTTTATATCTTAATTTTTTTTTTTGCTATCTATAGACGTGCAAAACTACAGAAGGGCTATCTACAATAGTCGTAAAACTACGTCGAAGGGTTATCTACGATAGTCGTAAAACTACGTCGAAGGGTTATCTACGATAGTCGTAAAACTACAGAAGGGTTATCTGCGATAGTCGTAAAACTACAGAAGGGTTATCTACGATAGCCGTCCTTAACTTTGAAAAACCGGCATGGCCAGGTGGTTAGGGCGCTCGACTCGCAATCCGCGGGTCGCGGGTTCGAATCCCCGTCACACCAAACATTCTCGCCTTTTCAGCCGTGGGGGGCGTTATAATGTGACGGTCAATCCCACTATTCGTTGGTAAAAGAATATCCGAAGAGTTGGTGGTGGGTGATGGTGACTAGCTGGGGCGTTATAATGTGACGATCAATCCCACTATTCGTTGGTAAAAGAATATCCCAAGAGTTGGTGGTGGGGGATGGTGACTAGCTGCCTTCCCTCTAGTCTTACACTGCTAAATTATAGACGGCTAACGCAGATAGCCCTCGTGTAGCTTTGCGCGAAATCCAAAACAGACAAACAAACCTTAACTTTGAATTGACAGACTGTGCCTAATCAATAGCACCCACTGTCCATTCTTGGGCTACTTTAATCGAATAATATGATTTGGTCGTCACTCTTATAACACAGCCGCAACGGGACACAAACTTTGGACCCTCGGATTCACAGTTCTACATTATGCCGACCTAATTTAAAAAAATAATAAAATAACCCAGTCACAAAGAAGTACAAAAAGTACGTTTCGATAGAAAATTTGTTCGACCTAACAGCTTAGCGGGTACAAATATTCTAATCCTGTTATCATGAAATCGTTTGATTAAATCGTTATATTGCCATATATGTTTAAAGAATTGTTTGTTTGCTTTACTTGTTTGATCTTTAGAGCTAAGTTGTATTGGGCTATCTGCTGTGTCCACCGCGGAGAATCGAACCCCGGACTTTAGCTTTGTACGTCAGTGGACTTATCGCTGTCCCACCGTAGGACTTTTAAAGAAAATCTAAAAAAATATTTTGTGTCAAGAAACTGCACGTCCTATTTCTTGGAAATGTCATCGATCATATTAAAGATCTGTTACTCCACAACCAACAGTTGACTTTGGGTATAGCCACCTGGTGGCTTAGCGGTAAGTATGAAAGTTTAAAACACTAAAAATCAGGCTTCGATACCTGCGACTAGCAGAGCACAGATAGTCCATAGCGTATCTGAACAACAAACGAAAAACAAACTAAACACTCTTGTCAAAAGTAGTTTCATAAGATTTTTTTTTTAAAGTTGATAAAGTACGTTAAAATAGAAAGATACTATTTGTTACATTTTCTTACTATGAACAGATGGAATATCTTGACCATAAGGCACTTTCCCAGATAAAGTCTACCATATGTCTGTTTATTTGCTTCTTCTTCTCTGTCGGGCATGGAGAACAACGTGGTCGCAAGATACTAAATAATGTAAGAAGCCTGATAAATGACACATTGGAAAAGCTACCAGAAGACTGTGATCCTAGCATTATAGTTGCTAGAAACAATACTAGCGTACGGGTAGGCGTAGATCCAACAGTGAATCTTACTATGGCTATTATTATTTTCACGTTTGTGGGAATTTTTGCTTCTGTTATTGCTTCTTTATTTCACATGGTGCGAAAACATGTTTACCACGATGCTGATAATTTGGACACCACCTTTGATGCAGGAGGAAAAGTATCTATTGGACTAACAGCTACAACCATTGTATCTCAGTGGACTTGGAGTGCAACCTTGCTCCAATCTTCAACTGTAGCTAGTAAGGTAAGATGAAAATAAAATTTAAGTATTTCATTAAATTCTCAAATTAAAAGCGATCCTTCTGCTTCACCTTCTACTTCGGAAATGTTATTTTCTTTTCGTTTACTGTCACAGACTCACGTATATCCCTCTCAGTGTCATTTCCTTGTGATCTTGGAATTCTGTATAACAATTTTATTGAGAAAGGGTATTCTCCTCCAAACTTCCCAAAGTTTACAAGCTTCAGATAAATAATGAAGTATTAAAACGTGTTTATTATTATTAAGCATCTTTCTGGAAGAGTTCTTTATTTGGAGAAGTGGAAGTGAAAGAGTTAACATTAGTGTTAAAAAAAAGTCAAACTTTTCATAGTGGCTGTTAACTATTTTGAGTTTAAATGATGCTATTTTTCATCTACCCAGTTTGGTTGACACTGTTTTAAAGCCTAATTCCGAAGGGTTTAATAATCTTGTTTTTCTAACAGTATGGAATAAGCGGGCCTTATTGGTATGCTGCGGGAGCTACTATACAGGTTGTCTTGTTTGCCATTTTGTCCATTCAGCTGAAGACCAGAGCTCCAGGGGCCAAGACATTCTTACAAGTTAGTACAGTATTTCTTACCCTTTAAACTGCTACGAATCTATAGCGATTTTGAGTTGGGTCATACTGATACCAAAATATTTAATTTTGTACAATATTCATAATTTGTTAAAAAACTATGTTATTAATTTTGGAGCTACTATAAACGTAAGAGAATAAAAAATACACAAATCTCAGTAGTAACAAAATGTATATATATACTACTTATTAATAAATTAAAATTGTTATGGATAATAACTTTACAAGTTGATGGTTAAATATACTAATAACTGAGAAGTATTTATTATTATTACCCTACTCTAGCAGTTCATGGTTAAATTTACACTGCCCTAGCAATTAATGGTTAATTGTGCTAATAAGTGAGAATTATTTATTACCAGCTGAAGTGCCGTCCTTTGTCCGGGTTATGAACTCCGAAAATGTGGGGGTGAATGCTATGATAAATAACACCAAAACCCTAACTTTCACACAATTTATTTATAATATAACATATTATTACCCCCACCAAAAGTTTTGTATAAGCTTTAAGAACTCAATATATATAAACTTAAAACATGGTCTACACTGTGCAATGGTCAGAATGACTTTGTAGGAAGAGGTAGCGGTCAAAGAAGCCTTTCGATGTCCAACTTAACCTGTGGATCATCAGGGTTACCCCAGGACAACGCTGCTAAGGTTGCTTATTGATGCCTCAGGTGCAAACGATCAATTCGTAACTGCCGGACGCCAGCCTGCTGCAACAAGTGAACACAAGCTTCCTTTAAACTGGCCCACCAAACATCATTAATGGGAGGAGCAAAGCACTAATTGAGCATAAGAGCACCCAGATCCTCAAGAACCACAGCATCAGTTAATAAAGATACATTAAGCCACCCCACTCCAATGCCCCGATGAATAGGGGAGAAATCCTTAAAAATGAGAAGAAAAAGCAAGATGGTCAGAAACATAATTGATGGCACTTCCCACAGGATAAACAGCTGCATGAGAAAGAAACTGGGACAACTCTCCTGTAACATAGAAAACGGTCAAGACGACAAGAAACACCATGACCAATCCAAGTGATAATAAAAGCAGAATCATATAAAAAAAACGCCAAACATCCCGAAAGTCAAAATCGGAAAGTAAAGCACTGAGTGATTGGGAACCTTTAACACCTACAGCAGGATTTCCACCAATTTTGACAATAGGAGGATCAAGAACACAATTAAAATCCCAACCTAAGACTATACATCACTATAGGAAGAGAGAACAGAACCTCTGAAATTGGGGTTAAATAAGATCCCGACCCCGCGGGCACGAGAGGTCGCAAAAAACTAAAACACTTGAACATGAAACCTGTGAACAAACGAAAAATGATCTGACTTCGACAAAAAATGAGTCTCCTGTAGAAAAATGACGTCGACACGAAAACGATCAAAAAGGGAAGTGATATATCACTGCTTAGCAGGAGTACACAGGCCCTGGATGTTAAGAGCTAAACAGGAAAGAACCATGAAGAGAGCAAAAAATTATACATACATCATAGACAGTGCCATTTGGCTGTGATAGACGATGATGAAGTCGACAAAACACGCTTCATGAAACTAACAGCATCAGTCATATGTATATCATTTGACACATTGGAAGAGAGCAGGTCCCCAGATGCCCCAGAAGAGTGTGACAACTGATGAGGGTCACTATAGGTTGAAGGCCTGAGAGGAGGCACAGCAATGGGGAGGTAACACTTCCGGTAGCGAACAGAAGGAGAGGGAGATGAGTTCAGAACATTGGAAGATGTGGAAACTCCAACTGAACCAGTCAGGGGAGGAAAAGAAACTGGATCACACTCAATACAACTGAGCAGACAATGTGTCGAACAAGTATTGGTGTGCTCCACCAGCACCACACTCTCAACAACTAATGGAGAACCACAAATGGAATGAGGAAGTTTATCAGAAGAACTAGGAAGGCTAGAAGGGTCAGAAACAGATGACACAGAATCCTTTGAAGGTGACACATGGGAAACCACTGGGGGTGGAATAACCAACACGTCACCTGGGACAGAGCACACACGCCCTCAACAGGGGATTCAATGACAACAGGATCTGGCAGGACAGGCAGCACAGGAACAACTGCGTGTAGAAACGACAGCACAACATCAACGGCAGAGGAAATGAACTGATCCACAGGCACATTAACAACAAGGTCAGTGGATGGTTCAAAGACTCCCAGAGGAAAAGACTCAGAACCAGCCACTTTGTGAACATAAGAATGGGCCCTCTGAGGGCAAAATGAGGAATGGTGACTCCCACCACAGATGTCACAAGACAAAGTACATTCGTCGACACTATAACCAAAGTTATTACACTTATGGCAGCGAACAGTATCACAGGAATGAAGCAGATGTCCCTCACGACCACAACGATGGCACAGACGGCGCATACCAGCATAGTTTACCATTACAATATAACCACCAATCTTCACAAAAATTGGTACTGAACTCTTCATATCGATCTTCGAGTGACGATTATACATGCAAACAACCTGGACGAGATGGATAGTAGTCGTGCTCGACCTTCAACACACGACCAAATGGAGTAAGTGCAGTAGCTACAACCTCATGAGGTATCTCAAGTGGATCAGAACGAAGAGTCATCTACTTGATATTCAGACCAGCAGGTTCCACAGTGATGGACTGATTGTTGTGGGAAAAACAGCCATAACCCAATAACTTCTAGGAAACAGAAGAAGAAGACAATTTGCAACATAACATCCAGAGCTGAAGTGCTGAAGACAGTCCATGACATCACCATCGAGAGAAGCACATAGGGAGTCTATAACAGCCGATGGCCAAGAGTCCGAATCGACGACAAATCTGACTGACCGTTGTGGTGCCAGGAAGGTGGGGGAAGCAGTATTCATTCCTGCCCTCCTCAAGAATAATCCACTTAAAGTAGTTCCAAACTAACACTACTACGAGAAGAAATACATGCACAATAATATAACAAAATATAAGCAAAAACATCCTACAAGTCCAAAGAAAGTAGACTGCTATATCATGTATTGTTTTGATAATTAAGAAACTGATGTTTTTAAACTCAGACATTAAAAACACGTACATAGATCTGTCAGTTGCATAAATACTTGATCTCCTTCACACTTTGAATATTAATTTAGATTATTGTTTATCTATTAATTTAGATTATTGTTTATCTATTTGTTTGTTTTTACTGAAATTATTTTGGCAGATATATTTATGCAATGAAAAGCTACAAACGGTCGTTATATAAGAATAATGTGTGCTGCCATCTGGCGATATGAAATAAACTGTCATTTATGAAATATGGAAATAATATGTGCATATAAAATGAACTCACTGCTAACTAGTAGTTTTCCTTTTCATTATTTCTCCACATAAATACGTGTGATAGAAAAACAGAATAATATTACTGCTATACATGCTGAGAAACACTCGATAATGGCAATTAGGTGCTCAAATAAGGCTATAACTCAACATTAATAGTTATTTGTAAGCATAATCTAGTAAAAGAATGAATGTGGCGGCCATTTTCTTCTCGGCCTATTCCTACATACTTAGTGATAGCCGAGTATTTTTTATATTATTATTATAATATCACCCTAATTGTTGATAGTTAAATGTACTAATAACCAAGTATTATTTATTATTATTATCATCCAACCTTAGCAGTTGATGGTCAAATGTACTAATAACTGAGTATTATTTTTAATTATTATTATTATCCAAATAAACATTTATTAGTTTTTAATTGAAATTCATAAATTAACGGTTTCTCCTTTCCAACAAAATTTACTTAACAAAAATATTTTAAAAATATAATTGTGTATGGATTCAGCACAAGAATATTTAAAACTTGAGAAAACAGTACAGTCATTAAAAAAAGTCTAATTTTTGGAAATCTTTATAGACTGAAATATAGTACAGCTGGTTTTTTTAACAATAGGTGATTACAGCTCGTTTCAGTAAGAAAGTTCATATGCTTTTTCTCTGCATTAAGGTGATCAAAGCTCGTTTCGGTAAGAAGACCCACATCACTTTCTGTGTCTTTGCATGCTGCACCAACATCGTAGTGGCTGTTTCTTTGACACTGGCTGGCGTTGCTGTACTTCACAGTCTAATTAAGGGCCTCAGCATGGAACTTGCTGTCTTTATGTTAACTGCTGTTATAGGTGGCTACACTCTGATTGGTGGACTTGGAGCTACGTTTTATGTTTCCTACTTCAACACCACGATCATCTTTATCATATTACTCATGCTGGTTACAGAAGTAAGATAATATTTTGATATATATTTCATAATACGGCGAAGCTTATCAGCTGTAGAAATTTCATAAATGCTTTGTTTATTCGTATTTTTGGAACAAATATGAAAACACTTTCACGTCTAATTTGAAGGTGTAAGTATTCCTGTTCATCAAGATTAACAGAAATGTGATTTGTTCAAACGTATTCGTTGAAATATTTTTCTTTATTACTCTTTACTTACGAATTAACTCCATAAACAATATATTTAGGGGCGAGGAACCCATGCACTTTGAGACTGATGATGCATAGAGACGGCTTGAATGGGGAGCGAAGAAATCAAATAGGAGGCAAATAAAAAGTGTGTGGGGGGGAGGTATATTTGACCAAGTGAAGCGAGGGAATGTGCGTTACTGGCGTGCCAATTAGGGCCCTGGACGCTCTTGGGTTCTGGATTAAATTCTATATAATCTCCTGCTTTTACTATGAGTGATTCTTCTAATTATGGTGCATTTTTACTGGGACAGATTGAAAATTGCCGTCTCCTTCCGCTTCCTACGCCACCACGTAGTAACAAATGTACAACGCTTCCATAAGGTTTTGTGGTCACTTAAACTGCAGTGCTTCACAACTGGGTGAATGGTTCGCCCAGGGGTTAATGAGATCAGAATCAGGGTGAATGGTTCGCCCAGGGATTAATGAGATCAGAATCAGGGTGAATAAGTATTATCAATTATACAACAAATTCAAGAACTCAAAAGTTAGTAGTTATTATCATATATTCTAGTTGTAGTTTGATAAATACATTTTTGTTTTGCTTATTTTATGTTGTTTTCATTGTAATTGTAGTTTGATGCATATTTAAGTCATAATATAGAATTTTACATTTTAATTTAGTACTTTTTGTCTTTTTTTGAACTGGGATAAGTAAGCTGTTGTAAACAACTTATAGGGGTGAATGATATTGGGAAAGGTTGAGAAACATTGACCTAAAGTAATAAATACTTATTGAATCCTTAGTAATGATTTGATACCTAATAAAGCTTCCCAAAAGTTAATTTGGTATTTCATACTTTTGTTTTTAAAGGCAGAAATAAATTGTGTAGATTAGAAGTGATTAGAAATATCTGTATTTATATATATTATAATATATATATTATAATTATTATGCGTACCAGATAACAAGAATTACAAAGCATAATTTTGGATTAACGACCCTAATTATTCAAGCGAAAAACAAAGTATGTGCTTTTCATGCCAGTGTGGGGTCGTGTTTTCACGTAATTTTAGTAATCTTCAACATATTATTACACTCCATTAATGATTATATATTTTTCAATGATGTTCAGAGATTCAAAACACCACAACTGATGTATTTTGGTAACTTGAGTGATGTAATAGCATCTAATCCTTCTTCTCTGAGTTAGGTTTACTATAACCCTTTGGGCCATGAAGATAATTTGTTTGGAAGCTCCGACAATATATACCGGTACCTAGTCTGTTCCTTAGGTCCAGAAGGAAACGAAGAGAGAAGTTATTTGACCTTCCACTCCAGCGGGGGTTTTTTCTTCGGGATTATCAATATCGTAGGTAACTTTGGTACTGTCTTCTGTGATCAATCATACTGGCAGAGCAGCGTGGCAGCCAAACCACTCCAGGTACGTTGTTCAAACTGGAACACTTTACAATTATTACACAGCATTCTGACTTGTGCAGGGTAATTTTATATGAAACACGAGATTCTGTTTCGTTATGGTAAATTGTTTGTTTCAGCGTAAAGCCACACAATAGGCTATTGGCGCTCTGTCCATCACGTGGAATCGAACCCCGGATTTTATCTTTCTAAGTTCGTAAACTTACCGATGATCCACTGGTGGACTGTGGTAAATTAACGAAGAAAATACACTGTATAACAATTTACTCGAATGAATATGTTTTTGAAACTTACATCTTAGTACGCTGCAAATCCAAACAAGATTAAATTATTTTAAGTTCTTTAGTTTTGTGACTCAATATATTTTTAATCAATCAAAGAGAGTGGGGGAATTCATCCTGTACTTTCATAAGTCAATGATTTTTTTTTGTCTGAAAACTTATGACGCTAAACACCAGGTTTCGATACCCGTAGTGGGTACAGCACGGATAGCCCATTGTATAGCTTTGCGCTTAATAGCAATGATTTTTTTTATCACTTAGAGGGAGTTTTGGGGATTATTTTTGTAGTTTCATAAATCAGTGATTGTTCTATCACCAACAGGTAGGGTAAGGGTTAATCCTGTAATTTCATAAGTCAACGATTGTTCTACCATTTACAGGGAGTTTGGGGATTCATGTTGTTTTATAAGTCAGTGACTGTTTTATCACTTATAGAATTTTAGGGAATAATTTTCTAGTTTTCTAAGTCAGTGACTGTTCTATCGCTTACAGGGAGTTTGGGGATTCATGTTGTTTTATAAGTCAGTGACTGTTTTATCACTTATAGAATTTTATGGAATAATTTTCTAGTTTTCTAAGTCAGTGACTGTTCTATCGCTTACAGGGAGTTTGGGGATTCATGTTGTTTTATAAGTCAGTGACTGTTCTATCACTTATAGGGAGTATGGGGATTTATCCTAGGAGGACTCACTTGGTTCGCTATTCCCTTTTCTTTGGCTACTACATTGGGTCTTTCATACCTAGCTCTCAGCAGCGCTCAAGGTGAACCACTGCTGACTCCTGAGGATGTAGACCGAGGTAATACGTAATTACAGTTGAAGTTCCCATTTTGTGTGTATATCAATTCTAAACACTAAATATATATAACTGTTATTTTCTGCTATTACAAGGAACTCATCTGGCACATTATTTTCCAATGAATTCAGGTTTAGTAGTTCCTGTCGTAGCTCAGAACATCTTGGGCAGCTTTGGGGAATATGCCATGATCTTCTTAATTTTGATGGCTGTTATGTCTACGGGGTCAGCTGAGGTGATAGCTGTCGCTTCCGTTATTATCTACGATATTTATCAAGCGTACATACAGCCTTTCAGGTACGATCGTGATATTTAGGGTTAGATTTTAAAATCAATTTTCATTAAGTTTTAATTAAAAGAATTAAACGTCTGTTGTGATTTAGCTTTAGACAAGATCTTCAGATTTAGTTTGATCTTGATAATTAGGCTTACGTTAAACCTTAGAATTATATTTAGGGTTAGATTTTAAAATCAATTTTCATTAGGTTTTAATTAAAAGAATTAAACGTCTGTTGTGATTTAGCTTTAGACAAGATCTTCAGTCTTGATAATTAGGCTTAGGTTAAACCTTAGAATTATATTTAGAGTTAGATTTTAAAATCAATTTTCATTAGGTTTTAATTAAAAGAATTAAACGATTGTTGTGATTTAGCTTTAGACAAGATCTTCAGATCTTGATAATTAGACTTAGGTTAAACCTTAGAATTATATTTAGGGTTAAATGCAAATATAAGTTTTCCTTTAACTTGAGAAAAGTACTTAAGAATAACATTTAGATTTAGCCTTACAGGTAAAATACTGATATGCAGGCTTAGCTTTAGCTTTGGGTATGTATTTGAGTATAGTATTTAGGTGAATAAAAATGGAGATTTCAAGCGCTAGAATGTACCTTAATAGAAGAGATATCTCCATAGATAGAACCAATACAACTATGAGAATACACCGTCTATGAGGTTAAAACTCTATTCGCAAGTCTTGATAGATAACCTAAAAAATATGTATAATGGAGATGGAGGTGTCCAAGTCCACAACATTTCACGTCCAAAATCCTTTCACCATCCTTGTGTGTGTGTTTGTGCGTTTGCCTTAAACTAATAACTTCAACAATATTTCACTCTTATTGATTATTATCTACTTAAATTATGCACTCAAATACTGCCTAAACTATAACAGAATAGTGACGTCATTTTTTTAAATATTAGCGCTTACAGGAGTTGTGAGCTCAATTTTAAAGAACACAAAAACTGGTCTTGTGTTACTCTAGAGATTTTTTGGTTATTTATCACTGTCCAGTATTTCACCTGAGGGCTTCACCAGAGACCCATTCTGCACACATTAACGTACAGAGTTTTAGGTAAGTACACTAGCTCTGTACATTATTTTGTAGACTGTGTTCCTGCTGAAGCTCTCAGGAGAAATATTGAATAGTGATAAATATATGTATATATATTATTGAGTAATTAATATTAGGTTGTTTTTATATCCTTTGGAAACATACTTTTGCAAACACGTGGTCATGTGCTTGTGTTTTTTAGTTGGAGATTATGTTTTCATAATACGTACAACCCACGCTATTATATTAGATGTCATTTATTGTGTCAAAGAAATGTAATTATCTCAAATATCAATAAGAATATTTTTACTAAAGATTTGGATCACTGCCCATATTACAGGGTTTTATTATTTTAAGTAACAAAGTTTTTATTTTAAAGCCGAAAACTGGAGTAACGAGCAATTATTTCTATCGGGTATGGAATATTAAGAAAATACAATAATCTTTTGATTTCAGAGTAAATGTGAAAGATGACGAATGTATAATTTGTGGTAAACCTTACCCACCACCTGATTCAATCGATGAAGCAGATAAATTTTGTCGATGTAAAAGCATGGTATCATGTATCGACTGTCAGCAAGATACTTCAAATCGTACTGAGTGCAAGTCCCTAGTGAAACCACATTTTACATGTTCTGTTCATAAAGAGTATCGTGAATACCAGGAACAACTATTGAACTACAAAAACTGGTGTATCATGTGGACAACTATCATAATTAACCCTTTATTCTTGCTGTGTTATGCTGCTAACTTGAATCTTTCGTGGAGTTATCTCTTCACTGGCATCCTCATCAGCTCCACGGTGATTCCCATCACCCTCTCTGTTCTATGGTCCAGACTGAACGAGAAGGGGATGATTTCGGGTGCCATAGGAGGGTGTATCTGTGGTTTGGTGTCTTGGCTTGTAACTGCTTCTACTTTTCCTGGTGGTCTGGGGGACTTTCTGGCCAATACAGGCAAGGAACTTCCAATGTTAATAGGGAACCTGGCATCTGTTGGAATGGGTGGATTGCTCTGCATTGTTGTTTCCCTAGCAACGTCAGAATCTCTATCTAATGAAGAAAGTGATCGTATCTGGGAAAAAACCAGAAACATTGATAACCCCTTGAATCCTTGGACATACGTTTACCGTGAAGAACTCGATATAGAAATTAAAGAGAAATACCACGATCGACCATCCTTGGAATCGGTGGTACAAACCTTTAAGACAGCCAGAACCATTGCATATAGCGCAGGTATACTGCTAGTTATTTTCTTCATTGGTGTATGGCCAGGAGTAATGGTCGCAGTAAGGATATTGGATTCAAAAGGATTTCTCGCATGGACCTCAATCTCCCGAGGTTGGACCTATATAGCTGCAGCTTTCATCATCATTGTCCCATGTATACAAGAAATAGGAACAATACGAAGGCAGTATCTTTCGAATCAAAAGCAAAATAAAATCGTGAACAAGTAACAATGATAATATACTATAACATATTCACAATTCCTTTCATGACATATAAGGTATTCCCGTACAGTTGATTAATATTAGTCGTATATTAAATATTATTCATATCTATATATTAAATAAGGCAACAGTTGCAGACTTACCCGATGCCTTTGGTGCGAAATGCCACAAGGTGGCGCTATTAAAGATTTATGTCTTATAAAAGACAGTAGAAACTAATATATCATACTTGAAGAAATAAATTGGTTTCCAAGAAAAGGTAGTTGTGATTTGTCTACTGTTCTTTTCAACATTAAAAAAAACACTCATAAAAACGTCAGTATTAATTATATATTAACTTATGTAAAAATCAGTTTCTAAAACACAATTGTGACACATTTTAAACTTGATTCCTTTAAAAATATTATATAATATCAACAACAAAAAAAGAAACAGTGACTGAAGTGGTGCTATATTACACGATTTATTTGTTTCTTCTTTCTTTTTTTTTAACTAGAAATCAAGGAGCATGGTGTTGGTGTTAACAAGGGAAAATATATGTATCACATTGAAAAATGTAGGGATAGATAGTTAGTTGCATAAACATCAAAAATCTGTTATTTGCCTTCATATCATTTGGAGAAATTTTAGAGAAGAATTGGCATTGATTAAGTAATATGGCTACGTCAGCGCTTTGGGTTTGGTTAGAAAATAAAAATCTCTTCAGAATTTCCCAGCAAAAACTACACAAATCGTTATTAGCGTATAGTCGTCATTAACTTTTAACTGATAGACTAGAGGAAAGGGACCCCCCAGTGGCATGTCTGCGGACTTACAACCGGGTTTCGATACCTGTGGCGGGCAGAGCACAGATAGCCCATTATGTAGCTTTGTGCTTAACTACAAACAATCAGAGGGAAGGCGGCTAGCCAGTCAAAGTTACTTACCATCGACTCGCAATCTCCGGGTGGTGGGGTCCAAATCTGTCGCCGAACATGCTCTCCCTTTCAACCATGGGGACGCTGTAATGTGACGGTCGATCCCACTATTCGTTAGTTAAGAAAAAGATCAAGAGTTGGTGGTGTTGACTATATGCCTTTTTTTCTAGTTTGTTTAAAAATTAGAGACGATTAGGGCAAAATTCAAGAAAACAAGCTATTTTTATCTAACCGAGTAATAGGATTTTATAGCATATCTATAATATCAAAGTGCGGAGCGCGTTTTTACACCAACGGGACGCGTCTAATGAATCTTTGGGTACACAGTCCGAACATGCTAACAGCTAGATCTAAAAAAATCAACAACTAAAAACTTCATGATGTATACATGTTGCCATACTGTACTTAAAAATAAGGATTCAGAATCACAAAACTCTAGTTAAGTTTTGAAGAAACCTACACACAGAAAGTACACTCCTTGTAAATGAATTCAATTCGTTTTATGTGTTAGATAACAAAACCTTTTTTCTTCTTTTTACACTTGAATAAAGTTCACCACAGACAACTGCCCAATGAGTAAACTGTATTCGTTCTGTTTGAAATAAGTAATTCTCGATGCATTCAGAAAATTAGCAGAAACATACAAGATACATGCCTTATTAGTATGCACTCGTCCCCAGTGAAACAGCGGTAAGTCTAAGTACTTACAACGCTGAAATCCGTGGTTTGATTCCCCGCAGTGATCCCAGCAGACAACCCAAAGCTACTTTGCTGTAAATCAAATTTGCGCTTAAGTACTAAATCTTGGGCTTGAGGTCTCATAATGCAATTGTTTTGGGCTCATTTTCTATTCGGACAGTACAGGGAGCCCGTTGTGTGTCTTTATACTTAACAACACAAAACAAAATTTAAAAAAAAAGCTAAAATTCAGTCATCTAGTGGTGACGAGTAGATCAAATAAACCGATAAACAATATTTGTTTGTTGTTTCGGAAATTTGCACAAGGGCTATCATTTCTAACCGTACCTGATTTTGGACTGACAGACTAGAAATAAAGCAGTTAGTGAACATCAATAGTGGGATTTGACTGTCATGCTTATAAGGTACCCATTTCTCCAAACTGCGGAGATCGTTTCCATGCGAAAACAAGACATCAGATTCACAGTCCGCCTGGCTAACCGTTAGGCTACGCTCGGCTTAAAAAGAATATTAACGTTTTACTTATTTACTTTTTTAGCCTATAGAAATTGGAATCTCATTTAACTTCCAGAATATGTTTCAGTAACATAATATTGTAGGCTATAATTTCATTGTTTTTAATTCGGAAGTTAGCTAGAGGTGGAGTGTCTTTAAGATCAAGAAAGTTTGTGGGAGTAGGCCTACAAGGTTCTAGATGATGTCAAAGAAATCTAGTATATTTGCGAAGCGTCTATAAACAAGACTAGATTATAAGTATGAGAATCAATGTTTTGCTTTCAGCGAGCAGTGAATAACTAATGAGTCGGTAGAGTGTTAGCCAATCAGTTTTAGTCCAGTAAAGCATCTAGTTTTATTGAAACAATTGGATCATTGTTAATTACCACGTGTATTCAGTTTCTTGATCGATCAGCCGTGAAACTGTACAAGTAAGTTTATTTCTAATTTAATTGTAGTACAATTAGTATGCATGATGTTTCTTTTTGGGCATCATTTGACAAAATTGGTCTACAAAGTAAAAATTACAACAGGGAACTTTTAGAAACGTTAAGGAAGAAATGAACTAATTCTGTATCGTTTAGTGGACTGGATTTCAATTATTTTCCTCAAAAAAAAAAAAAACACAAACCAACATCACATCATTTGTGCCAAAAGTGGTATTATTTTTGTGAAAGTAAAATAGAACTTTGAAAATACTTGATAATGATCACACGTGTAAGAAGAGAAATCCAAATGTTATTGGACATGATGAAATTATTAAAATATCAAGAAGAAAGAGGTTTGGTTTGAATTTCGCGCAAAGCTACACGAGGGCTATCTACGCTAGTCGTCACGAATTTAGCAGTGTAAGACTAGAGGGAAGGCAACTAGTCATCACCACCCACCGCCAACTCCTGGG